GACGGAGAATTAACGGTGATCCACTGTTCTTTGTGGTCGCGACATACCCTCTTAGGTGTACCGATGCGCGGTACGCCCCCCTCAATTCACCGTTCCAGGTGGTCAATCGAGCACTGAGCTTGCAGGGCAAAATGGCGCAGTCAATATTGCACCGGCGCCACTCGTTTACGAGGAGTAATTACGCTCAATGAACCAATTAGCGCGCTTTTACGAAACCTCCTAATTTAGGTATTAAGTACGATATATAAAGTTTTGCGATGCGTCGGATCGGAGTCGGAAGGTGCTCGGCTGGCTTCGCCAGAGAAGACAAAAGATCCGAGCCGCTAAAGCAATGCTTCACGTATTGGACGAGACGAGATAAATGATCAAGCAACTTGCACCACATCACAGTCGCGAGCTTGGCCTGCCTTGATGTAAATCCAAGGCATGCTGAAAAAAATATGGCATGACACCGAATCAAGAAGACACCGCTTCAAATAAACGCCTCCTGATCATAATAATATTTAACTATTAACTAGTTTTCGTACTTACTGAACATCTACAGTACGTCAACAATCATTCATCCATACCGTAAAAATTCCAACTGTCCGACCGGGTTCCAACCTGATACCGGTACGATCTGCCAGTTAAAAATCGGACTTTGCGCGGTACATGTGTTACACATAATAAAAGCAAAATTAAAAAATCCCTTCTCTCTGAGGGCCCACAGCCATTCTACAAACCACGGCCACGAGCGCACAGCGGTGAGGGCGGAGCGCAATTCTACGGCCCTCCTGCGACCTCAAGGCCTCGGTCGCACCTCTACGCGCGCGGCATCACTACCAGGGACTCACGCCTCACTACTCCCGCCGTTGCCGTCCCCGTAGATGAATCATGTGAAGTGAAATAACCCGTAAGGGCGAGCTGAATGCTGCTGGATGCGGCCAAAGACTATCTACGACCTACATCGAGGCCACACTAGTATTAAATATGGTAAGTCTTTGCTGCTGCATAACATGAGTGAGCATGTCGTTTCTAACTTGCTGTTGCAGCTTTGTTTGTAATATAAGATAATGCGTTAGTGCGGAAGCTGTTATCTATTGCCAGGAATTATACTGTTCAAAGCGTAAGGTGAGATCTGGTGCTGTTCCCTAACTGTACTATGTGTACTACAGGTTCAGCGCTTGAGGGGGGGTTGTTACGAATGAATTTTGGCAGCGCCGAAGGTGGTGTTGGATCGACAACGTCACCACGCTCAGCACGCTCGTGGAACTGGGTTATATGTGCGTCAAGCTTTCCAGCCTTGTGTAGATTGCGAAGGGCTTTCAGTGCCGTACCCGCTGCTGCTGCTGAGGACCCGTTCGTCTTCAAGAAATCCCGCGTGCTCACTTGCGCTTTCTCACCAAGCGCGACCGCCTCACTCTTGAACGCAGGAGACGAAGCATCAAGTGAAAATCCATGAGGTAAGAAAAGCATCATGTAGCCTGCGGTGTGTCTAAGCTCGTACAGCGTCGTTTTTCTTCACAGAGCGCGAGGCATAAACGCGGGGCTCGGCCGTAAACCATACGTACCAGACTGCTGCAAGAGACTGCGAGCCCTTCTTCTTCGGACGAACAGTTCGGATGGCAATTTGTTGGTCAGGCTGTGATACACAACCCGCAACAGTTTTGGCTGGAGCCGACAGTGAGTGCAATTTCGCCTCTACAGCTAACAGTCGTTCCTCTAGGCGCTGATTTTGCAGGATTAAAACGCTGATCTGCTCGGACTGGCGCTTCATGAGGCTTAACACCTCAGCAGAGTGAGAGTCGCTAGCGCTGGGCTTGGTTATCGCTGATGGTGGCATGAAAGCACGGCGGATTGTGCTGCTCCATGCAAGTACTTCCCCTTCCCCGATGGCTCGTGCTGACATGGCCGCCCGAATGCGGGCAACCAGTGCTCCTTCGCGTGAGAGCAGCAGCATGTCGGGGTAGTGCATGATGAGGGTGGCTGACAAGACCTCTGCTACGTCTTCGCTTAGGTTCAGGCCAGGCTCTGCAAAGCCCAGGGAGCTCGTGAAAAGTAGACCATGCAGTGCTTGGGCGCGGAACAGCACAGACGGCTCCAAGATACGCAACGAAGGAAGACGTGCGCCTTCTTTTGGTTTCCATCCGCTCAGGACACGCGCAACTTGCTGATCTGCCTGCGTTGTACCCAACATGTACCCAAACGCCTTATTGACGCGGTCAAGCTGCCAACCGCCCCGCTCTATAATCCAGTTTTCTGCAAGAGTTCCATCGTTGGCGTGCATGGCAGCTCCTCGACGAAAAGAGTGGGAGGTAAGTCCTTGTGTGAGTTTGACCTGCTTCTGATCTGCAATGTTCTTGACTCGAACCAGTAATCGGTTCACGTACGCTTGTGCACCAGGAACCGATCTGGTAGCTGGCGACTGTTGCAGGTCTGGCAAGGATGCGGGGCTGTCGTCTGCCTCGAGAAGCTCTACGAGACTGAGGTCTTCTACATCGCCAGCATTAGCTCCGATATGCCTTGTACTGCTAAACTGAGGAAATAGACGCTTGCTTGGCGCATTCTGTATGGTTAGAGCAGCAGCTAAAACGAATAGTGGACAAGTTAAAAAACTTGTCGGGTCCTTGAACAAGGATACACCTTGTAGCAAAGCTGTTTTAATCCGCTTAAAGCGTAGGAAGAGTACGCCACCTACATATTGCAAGGTTCCAGTTAGCGTAATTGTCAATATATAAAGAAATAAAATAGTCAATGATCTTACCAGGTAAAATCGAGAGCTAGTTTTTTTCAGGTTGCTCTGCGTCCGAGCTACGTCCGTATAAATACCACAGCATCACAACCAGAGCTGCATCCGGATAGATACTCTCAGCAGAATCAGAAGTATAAAGTAGGCGAGCAATATTTTCTAGATCTTGCTTGGAACACGGTGGAGCTTTCTTTTCAAAAGCCCCATCCTCGCGATTGGTACAGTACTTATAAAGCCCAGACAGGATCTTCTGCAGCTGGGGCTTTACTGTCCCCCCTTGCTGTGGGTATTTATCTATCAACCAGTTCTTTACGTTTACGAAATAGGCTAGACATGTATTGGAAGATCGAGTTTTGTCTGTCGATCTAGCTAGAGAATACGCATATTTATCTAGCACAATTCGAAGTACCCTACCGGTATTGTCAGCGTCGATAAGCTGTTGAACATGCTCTAGTGTGATGTTTTCTGAAGAAAGAAACGTGCTGAACGAGTTGATCGCCGTCACCCGGGCCTTCTTACTGTTAGGTGGCGCTAGCGACGCGATAGACATGGTCACAGCTCTGCAAAATGATGTCTTTTAGGAAACAGCTGCCAACCGCCACCTCGGGTTGGAAACTTCCTGATATTTTTAGAATATGCTACTATATGGATATTTGTAAAGAGTACAGCATATTCTGAAAAAATTTAACTAAATATGGCGGATTGGTAGGAATTGGTGGTTACTTTTTAAGACTTCATCATTGGATAAAATCACATTAATCTTGCAATCTAATTGTGGGATTGGCTGAGTACAGTTCTTCATGGACGATGCATGGTTGGAATCTTGCGGATATTATACCATATCATAACGACTCCGACCGCAGAGCTGTGATTGCTACCAATCACAGCTCACAGATTGCTACCAATCACAGCCCTGCTATTACACTGTATAATAAAATAAATACTTCGAAGTATATCAGTATATCAATTTACCAATATTAAAACTTACATGACAGGTATACAAGTATTTCAGCTGAATGAATAGACTCTATTGTAGCCAACGACGTTAAGTTGCAGTATTTCAAGCGACTGGCATTAAGTTGCAGGACGTCAAACGTTTTGGGCTTCAAATCAAAATTTTTGCAATAATGACTGAATCTAAAGTATGACTCTTGAGCGTATCAATGATTAGGCGCTAGGGTAACGATGCGCCCGTTTAAAAAAACCCTTCCGAATAGTGTCCTGTGGGGTGCTACGTGCCTGCACTATTAAATACAAGCCTCTCCCGGTTAGAGTCCTTATACAAACTACCAAACCTGTTATTACAAGCTTACTGACCATTCATTATTCAGAGAGGAACAATTTTCCGGTAACAGGCCGAAAGTTGCCCCACTTTTGGTGTGGAAAGGAAAATATTCACCGTCTTTTGAAAACAAAGTCAGGGCTGCTTTTTGTGGCACACCAATCCCGAGCTTGGGATGATAGCGAGCTGCTCAAGAAGTGGCTATTCCATGTGTGATGCACGGTGAACGTAAATGCCTGGTTTGGGACAGCATGAGAGCCCACATATCGAAGGCTGTGAAAGCTTAGTGCTCTTCGAAAAGTGTTCGATGTTGGGTGGCCTCACGCCTTACTTGCAAGCTGGAGATATCGGAATCTATAAGAGTTTCAAGGACCTACTGTACATATAAATTAACGCTTAGAAAGAGTCAGACCAATAAAGTCCTCACCCGTATAAAGTCCTCTCTGTCACTTTCGAGTGGCACGATTAAACAAAGTCCGGCTCTAATAGGGCACATCCGTTACATGTTTTACTCTAGACTGAGCATTGTGCTGTGCATGCGTACACCGAATCGCGTTCTAAAGCTTCGTGTACGGGAGAGCTCTTCTCCATAATTTTAAACAATAAAATGGGAGCGAGTAGGCACTTCTCACATCCAACACACGAAACAAAAAAACTGTTGTTTGGGATGTGGGATACAGCTATCCCACAACCCACAGCCAAAAAGGGCTTCGAAAGGTATATCGTATCCCAGCTTCCCGGGCAACGCCGGCATATTCGCCTGGTAATGCTTTTCTATAAAAATAAATTAATTCTTCACATTTTTATGCAATAGTTGCAGATCAATTTATTTTTCGGCATCGGTTCTCAACACACATGGGGTCGAGTCTTACAAGATGCGCCGCACTTCGAGTGTTCGCCGCAAGAAAGAGATCTGTGCCATTGAAACTGCCGATAGAACGAACATCTCGACCAGCGTCCACCACATAACCCGATTGTGGGTGCTACTGATCACTGCAACAGCAAATGCAAAAAATATTTACATAAATCCTTGTACGATGATCCCATTTACTCCGCAACGTACAGTCATTGTGATGATTTGTGATCGCTTTCATAAATGCTTGAGTATCCTTGACGGTGTCAAGGTTCACACTCAACTCATACACAATGTCCTCCAGCTCTTGCACTTGCTCTAAGGTCCACCGCAACATATACAACGCTCAGTACACATATATATATAGGTCAAGTCCAGCTCTACTGAGGGACACTCACTGATCTTCGTGGCGTCTGCGTTGGACAGCACCTCGTGACTCGGATCGTCCGCGTGGAAGGAAAAGCCGATGACCACGTCCCCCGAGCGCTCGTTCCCGAAGCAGACAGAGTGCATGCCTCCCTCTCCGATGGGGCTCATATACCGTCCCGACGCGCCTTTGCGCGCATATACGACCTCATCCTTGCCGTCCGTGAGCTCCGTCTTCAGTTCGTCGGCTACACCCCTGATTGCCTCGTAGTTGAGCGAAATGCCGTGCTTGAAGCTCTCCGCCTCCACGGAAAAGCACTCGGAGGCGCCAGAAGGGATTGTAACGTGCATGGCGGAGCCCAAGTTGGGCCCCAACAGTACACACACCGCCAGCACCAGCGCAAGCGACAGCAGGAGTGTCCTCATCTTGCTCTTCCAGACCAATTTGCGTTCCGGTATCCCAACAATCCTTAATACATTATATTACTGACGATCCTCTCTGTGCTGATAGCGTCATTTTATTATTATATGGAGGATTAATAATAAAGTGTTGTACCCAATAAAAGGTACACACGACACTGACAGCGCGTTAGCCTCGATTTTTTTCGACATACGATCGATTCCCCGCCCAACACTGCAGTTCCACGTACACCCTCCCCACTAAGGCCCCACCCACGATGCAAAACAGGCTAGCGAACAATCAGCGACGACAGATCTGTCGCCACAAAGCTGAAAATCCATCATTAAGCCAGTAGGTCCAGCTTGCGTTGTGGGCTCAAAACGTGTTTCAGCTACAGCGCGCTGTACCACAGGAAGCGGTTAGAAGCATCCTGAAGCAGTAGTACCTACTCGAAGCCTTACCATTGGAAGTAGAATCGTAGCTCACAAATTGGGTAGGCTGGCTGGCAAGAATTGTTTAAAAAAACGCTTTACAATTGCATTTACATGCGATTTCGTTCGCCACCTGACAGGAAGCAGCAGATGCCACTATTATCATCCTTCAATAGACCTTGACAGAACAGAGCACATCAATAATTAAGTACCTCTGAAAAATAACATCCGCCATTTTTGTTTATTATTCACTAATGAGAGGAAATAGGTCAGTTTGTCTAAAGTTTGTGTTATATTACAAGTATTCAAATAATAAACCACAAGATGAAAGGTGGCCTTCTATTGTGTTTTAGCTGTTTTCTTTTTTCTATAGAAGCCTTATATGCACTGAGGCGCGAGACAAAATCTTGCGTCTTGCGATGTGTAGGTAGAAGGCCCTTGGGTGTCATTGGTTCCGTTTTTCTGATATATACTGCAGTGTGGCTGTCAAAATACCACTCCAAATAGTATATCCTTGCTTAATTTTAGGATATACTATTGGAATTGTATACCGTATATTATATGGTAGGACCCGTTATCAAAATTTATGACTTTGACGTCTGCGATACATACGTGAAGGTAATTATACACTTCTCATTGGTAGTTCACTACAAAAAGCTACATTTTCAAACCTTCGTGGCAAGACAGCCTGATGTCCATACCTAATCGCCCCTGTTCCAAGCAAAGTTTTGTTCTAAACACAATTCAATTATGACCAATGAAAGCACTTTATTTAAAACATATGGTGACAAGTAAAATGGCATATAGTTATCCGCAGTCACACTAGGCGCTGATAAGAGGTAATCATCCTATCAAAGCACTTGCCGGAATGCATGCTGTGGTTGCATTTTCATGTCTACCTCGCTGGCTACATACTGCTCGGCACACGTCAAATGCGTGCTTGGCGAGTGCTACAGCTGAAGTGACAAGAGTAGTGTTACCTGATTGGCAGACAACTTGGTATCCTGGATTATGATTGAACGTCAACCTCCATAAGGCCTATCACGGGATCTGCTACGGGAGGACAATGCTGACATATGGCGCGTACACTGTATACAAGTGTGTCCGTTTCACACAGGCATGTCCGTAGCATATTACGATTTATACCGTCCATTGTAGAAGGTACTAGGGGTTACACGTAAGAGGTAGGAAGCGTTACTATGCCTTCTAACTCAATCAATTTCACATACAATTTCCAAGCATCGACTTACATCGTCTACCCGCCTCGTTCGTATCGTCTTCTACGCTTATGTGTCCAAACTACGCCGATGAATCGACAAGCATGTAAAAGACACATATTTCCACTAGGAGCTCAACATGAGAATGAAGCTTGACCAAATAAGTCTGCTCCCGCAGATCACCAAGCCAGCGTTTGACTAAGCGACTGGTAGCACCACGGTTACATCGAAGACCAACGGTTTAAAGGCCCCTGGTTGCTGTTTGCGGCTGGCCTCTGTGTTGTTTTTTGTGCTGGGGGCGACTTGTCGTCTTCTTTAGTATGGAGGAGTGATCACTGGAGGCGTGAGTATCACATAGCAAGTCTACATTTGCTTATACGGGTTTATTACAGGCTCGTATGTTCAATGTGTATTTATGCAAGCTCACTTGTCTAACTAACCACGCACCCTACGTTTCGTCTGTGACGGCATGTTCAACTCTGCCGGTAGCATCTTTCGTCTCATCAACATAATGGCAATAGGTAGCAAATATGTTAGGGCTTCGCTTGAATCCATCTTTCAGAAGAACCAGCACATGAAGATGCCACAATTGTCACTGTCCTTCTGTATTGACGCCTTGATAGCTTCCTGAGCGAAAGAGCTTTCCAGACTGCTCATGATCTTACCTGCCAATTGCTTCAGTGCTTTACTCGTCTTCCGACCGCTAATACTATTGTAGATATCCGCTTTCTTTGACTCCTTGTCGATAAGAAGGCACGCCCAGTAACTTGAGCTGAAGTTGGCTGGTAAAAAGAGAAACTTGACAGTCTTTTCCCATACACGAGTAAATTTCCTCCATCGTTTCGACATCCAAATTTACGAGGCGGCACTGGTAGTTTCTGCTGAAAAAATACGGTGGCGTTAGTTTTGCAAGTCCTTTGTAGAAAATTAATAAAGGTCCGAACAGTCTCATCATTCAACCATGTGCCTTCCCCGAAACGGTACAGCTGGGAGTAAAAGAGATCAAAACTAAAGCCCGAGAGTACGTCTACGCGATATCCCAGAAGAAACTTAGATACGACACGAGTGGCGTCCATAGTGTCAGGTCAGTGCTGTTTGACTTGAAATCTAGGTACAGTATTCGAAGCACTTCCTACTTATATCATGCATGATCCAGATTATTTTCATCGCAACCAGCTGCTCACGTGTAAAATCGCCCAGTTTGCCAATCAACGCTTCTTCACAAACGCGCTGGACATCTTCACATTCAATGGTAATGGTTTCTGTACAGTAGCTCCGTTGTTAAGGGCGATCTTGACTTCATTAACCAGAGCGAGAGCCCCATCAATCAGACTTTCAGATACGCGAAACCGCTCACAATTTGGCTCAAATGTTTCGTCTAATCACCACACGTTCTGTGGCTTGCCACAAGGATCGCGAACTTTACAAGTAGCAATGAATGAGCCAAGATCGCTCAAGCTGAACTTCATTTTTTCGATTTATGCAACGACTTCGTAAATGTCACCACTGGGGAACAAGGCACGCAATGCTACGCCATGATTGTACTCCTTCAAAGCCACACGAGCTTTGGCGCGGTGCTCCCGACGATTAAGTCGAGGATGGCCAACCTTGGGGGCACTTCCATTCCATCAAATAACTGGGATGTTTGACTGGCTCTTGACAGCTGGGTTTCATCTCGGTTTGGTTAGGTAGGTGGCGTATCATCCGCTTGACTTACAGTTTTAACTGCACTTGAAGTATTAGCAACATCCTCGGTACGGTCGATTCTCGTTTCACCTTGACGAATGTTGTTTCATCAATTACCAAATTGCTTCATGGGATTCTTAAATACATCGTCCTGAAGATCTGCTAGCTCCCCGCTCGGGCAGGGCTCGACGGTACGTTTTTTGGGTAGTCGGGGCTTTATTTTGCAGCGTTTTCTTTTTCTTCTTGAAGGCCTTGGAAACCAACGGAGACTGTTGCCGCGGAAGTTCATCGATCTGGAGACGGATCCAGCGAGACCACGTCAGAGAACAGCGTGCTTATTGCGGGTATACCTGTAATTAACATGCAGAATTCATGGATATTACCTGGTCGGGAATGGCTGCGTAGGGAATTACAAACTCGCTGCCACTGAGCTTATTGTATACCATGTCATGCCTACACGGTGGTTTCATCGTTCGAGCGAGCTCACAGTCACATTGCAACTTTTTTCTGCACCTCATACTCGTTATCTCCATGTCGGAATCACCCTTGTCGACGCATGTGTACCTGGATTACAACTCCAGGCCCAGGGCAATGTTGTACGCGGACTCCGACAAACTATGGGATTCATTGTGATGCATCTCGTAGGCTGACTCAGGCTTTGCATACGACATGTTGGTAATGACGTATTTCATTCGCTATACGCACAAATCTCCAGTGCTTCTTCGCGCGTTTAACATGGTCCAGGTATTTTGACACATACCAATCTAACGCTGTCTTCACTCACGAGTACTGCACAGACTGGCCAAGCCCAAACTGATCCATGGTCACCATTGTAACGGGGTAAGAGATAGCGTTACTAGCTTACACTGTAATGCGGAGGAAGCTCGCAATAATAAAACCAAGTCTTAGGTTTGTGTCAAATTCAACTCTGATTTATTTAGGACCAGGGCGGCTACCCCTGGCCTCGTGTGAACCACTCAAACACATGTCTATATCTGATTGGTCAATAAGTGAGTCTGGCTCCTCACTATCAACCAATCAGATGATGACACCTTGGCACACGCTACCCGTGTGCCACTTTACCTACTTATGTAATAACTAAAGAAATATCTACCTACTTATGTAATTGGAGTTGGGCCCATTACATCACCCTCCTCTCTAAGTTGCGCTTACGCAACATAAGCGCACGGAACACATTTGAAGAAAACTCGAAAACCCAACGGAGCGAAGATGGCCGAGGGCAACCCCGGCGCAGTCAACGGACGTTAGCACCAGCGCGACGCTTGTGACAGCAGCAACATCGACACACTAACGGCGGGGTTACCCAGACAGCCGAGACACCGGCGGAGCCGACAGTCACGAGGATCAGCGCCGGAAGCACGCGGTCGCGCGTGATGGACGATGCCCTGGTTCCCTGGGACCTGTACGAATTGTCAGGAGCGGAGAATCCGGATACGCTCGACACTATGAAGAACCACTTTCGTCGCTTCGCGCGACGCGGAAGAAATACATTGAAGGCGCTGATCTCAGGGAGTCTCGTCGCTCCTGGTGTGCCTTCATCCGGCGATGGAACCGGATGTCGCGTGCTGGAGAAAGCTTTGTCGACTGGTTGACGTATCGCGAGGAGATCCTCGCGGATCATTCGATTGGAGAGCTACGCGTGAAGGTCTGCAACAACGCGTGGGATATGGATCGACTCTGCTTCGTGCGCGTGAGAGAGGGAT